TACCATATTGATGCTGGAGACTAAAGAACGATTGTGTTTAAGAATTACAACCACAAAGATATATGCATCTTCATACAAAGTGCCCTTCAATAACCACGCATAAAATTATCTTTGACAAATCAAATCATGCTTGCATGATTTCAAAGATTCATTGTCATCACTTTTGCTTACTTCTCAGTTGGTACTAAATCTTGATGCTTTAAGCTTCTTTGCAATTCTCTTTATGCCTAACCATCTAACAAACTACACATAAATATGTAAGACCTCTCTTCTGTGTAAAAATTACAATGTGCTGAGTAATTTTATGAGGCTGGAGACATCTTACAGTTAAAAAAAAAAGCTTCCCTAGTTTATTTGTTTTGTATATGAGATATCCTGGCTTTTTCCCTAGAAGGAAATCTTCCAGGGAGATGAGCAATATAATTTAAAAAAAAAAAGTTTGGACATTCACATAGTTTCAGAAACAAACAAAACACAAATAAATCAGTGGACTTTTAAAAAGGCATCACTCTGTCCAAAATCATATGCTTAAACTCCAGTTATGTAAATAAAGTTTTTGTTTTTTTAGAACACAGCCAGACTCTTTCTTTTATGTATTGTTTATGGTTGTTTTCATGCTACAAGGGCAGAAAGTTGAATAATTGCTATAGATATTGTTTGGCCCACAGTCTCAATATTTACTGTCTGACCCTTTGTAGATAAAGTTCATGGACCCACCCCATAAATGCAGTGGGTCACACAGTTTTGGAGGCAGACAGGCATGGAATTCCAACCACAAGCAGTGAACTCAGTTTCCTCATCAACAAAATGGTGAAAATATCTACCTGGCATATCTGTTGTGATGATTTCATAATATGGTATTTTAAAAAAGGCATGAATCACTCAGTAGATTCAAAAACTAAGAGTTACCATTTTTCTTCAGCTAAAGCCAAGTCTGAAAGTTGTTTTTGTTATGTGAGGCAATGTTATGAAACATAATTGGACTACATACATATAACAATATACTAAGGTTTGGTTCATTGATCACTCTGTCAGATCCCAGGAAAAAGTTGGTGGAAGACCATGAAAATATCCTAAACTTGTAATCTACAGATAGTTTTTAGAATCAAAATCACACTTTTCTTCTCATATTTTGAATATAATGTTAAAATAAAAGTCATCCTAAAATAGATAAGCAATTATTTCTCATCATTCATTCTGNTCACGGAAATGCCTGACTGTGCACAGGTTTCAGATCATCCATCTTCCCCAACTCACTAACCAGCTTCCCAGGGCCCTGTCCTCTGACACTGCCGGGGAAGACAATCATGAACTACAAATCATTAAAGTGCAAAGCTCTAGAGCAGTGGTTCTCAACCTGTGGGTTGCAACCCCTTTGGGGGTCGAACAACCCTTTCACAGGGGTCGCCTAAGACCATCGGAAAACAAAAGGATATTTACATTACGATTCATAACAGTAGCAAAATTACAGTTATAGGGTAGCAACAAAAATAATTTGATGGTCGGGGGTCACCACAACATGAGGAACTGTATTAAGGGATCGCAGCATTAGGAAGGTTGAGAACCGCTGCTCTAGAGGGATTCCAATAAGAGATTCGAGAGACTTTTTTTTCTTTGCTGAACTCAAGAGAACATTTTTACTTTGCTCTAAACACCCTTAACGACCAATGAGTCCATATGGAAAGCTGGAGTCTTTTCTTAAAAGAACATTTTTTTTTTAATTGTCCATAGCCTTAGCGTTTTGACCCTTTAGAAAATACTGGCCTTGTATACGAGAGGACCTGCAATTTTCTGAAATTAAAAAATAGTGTGAGCATTTTGTTTCTGGAATAATTTGGGTGTAACTTTTTATTATTTATAAAGGCAAGGTACTTGTAAAGCTCTGCATTCTGAAATAACAGTGAGAATGAGGAAAGTGTTCTATGACCTAACTTCTGGGGTATCTGTGTTTCCAGGTTGATTGTAAGCCACACTCAGGCAGCGACCGTCTGCTTCACCTGGTACAGGACCTTGCATACAGCAGTTGATTAATAAATGCTCAGTTTGATGAATGAAGTCAGAAGCCAGACAGAGAAACCTCAGACTTTGCTCTCAGCTGTACTGGCTTCTTCGGAAGAACTGAGGAATTCTTTCTTATAAACTAATTATAAAACACTACAACTCTGGGAATATGGGCAAAATCATTAACAGACATTCATAAAAGATGACAAAGGATTAACATTACACAAAAATAATTGTTAACTTGAGAGCTATTTTGACTACCAAAGTGGCGAAAAACATTTATAAAGACCAATGCTGTGAAGGTTTACAGAGCAGGCACTCTTAACCACTGTGCAGAGGATTGCAAAATGTACACTACTGCTGGGAAGAGGTTTGCAAAATAAATCTAGAGCATTAAAAAACTTTTTAACATTTGACCCAGTTCCTCCACTTTTAGGAATTTGTTTTAAGCAGAAGTAATTAGAGTCAGAGTATCAGTCAAGGACACACAGGTATATACATATATATGAAATACACTCACAGATATACATACACACATATACATACACTATCATATATGTTGGTGTGTGTTATCAAAAATAGAAGTGGTACACATGTTCAAAAACAGAAGAATGGTTAAGTTAAATCTGATTCATGCACCCAAATGAAATAGCGTACATTTTAAATATTAATAGCAAGAGAAGGATGGTAAATAACCCCCAAGAGCTAATAGTCTGTCATATAATTGGGGTAACAAAACAAAAAAGTTAATGTAAAAACCTGATTTTGATCACAAGAGATGGTGTCCTAGTTTTGCATGTGTAGATTTATGTGTATATATAAGCCAGCATGTGTGTGTATTATAATTACCTGGGTAGGTCTTGATAAAGTTCATTTTATTAAAATCTTCAGAAACATGAAATTCCTAAGAGTAAACACATGCAATAAGAGAACAGTTATGGTTTTAAAAACAACAGGAACTTAACTTTCAAAACAAAGTAAACTCTAAAAATAGCTATCACCAGACATGGGACTTGAGATCAGCTATATAACAATAATACAGAATTGCTCCTTTCATCAGGCCTGTCCTCAAGCCACCCTTTTTGGGGGGAAGCAAATAGAATAAAGTGCCGTGACCACCACAGCATTTTTGTCCAGTTCTTCCCCCACAAGTGAGCACATTGAATTCCTTCTCCCTCTAACCGCAAAGGAGGAGTCTTGTTAATTTTTCTCTCTTGGCTACACCAAAAATTCCTCAAAATTACATAAATAAAGAAAAAATTGCAAAGACCCATTACTAACAAGAGTTCTAAGCTTTAGTGAAAATAAAACATAAGGTACCTCAGCAGTGTAAGGGGGGACTTGTACATATTTAATAAAAAGAAGCACACCAAAAAAGGAAATTAAAAAATTATTGGTGGTTTTCTTCTTTTTTTATCCTCTTATATTCTCCAAATTTTTTATAGACTATGTAATACTTTATAACTAGGAAAAAATTAAAAGTATATATACCTAATGAAAAAATAAGATTCAACATAAAACCAGGAAAACTCTAGAAAAAGCACTAATAAGAAAATTCTATTAATCAATGCTAAATTTCTAAGTTCTTAAGGCTCTAGGTAACATAGGCATTATAAATTGTTGACTGCTCAGACTGAAAAAAAAAAAAAAGAAAAGAAAAAACCCACAAAGGAATACTGACTCCTTGTTTCCATGTTGGTTTTGCAAAGTACAAAAAGTTATTAGCATTTTATAGATACTAATTTGTCTTGAGTCGGAGAGCAAAAAATCAATTGTTGACTAATGATAAATTGGATTTACATTGCCCCTGTCCACTGAAGAGCTGCAGGAGTTTTTATATGCCATCCTATAACCTGTACTCTTGAACCAAGAACCACAAGAATGGTCCCTAGAAAAATAAATGCACCCCACTGCCACTACTGGAGGCTTGCCCTTGGTGGCTTCTTGTTATATTTGGGTAGACACATCACCATGCTATTCCTATAAACTTTTCAGAAGGAGAAAAATGAGAATGTCGGTATTTAGTACTGTAATACATAATGTGTGTACAGCAGCCCCAAGCTGATGGGGCACTGAGCTCATCGACCCCCAACCCTGCAGCCCCTGAGTCAGGAGTCCTCTCCACCTGCCTCCTGCTGAGCTGAACCCCTTGGGTAGAGAGCCTGTCCTTTGTACTGGTTTTTTGTTTCTTGGCCCAGAAAGACACAAACAATACACATGGACTGAAGAAGAAATAGAAAATCTGCAATAAGTAAAGAGGTTAAATTAGTACTAAAAAAAACTTTTCTCAATGAAAAACCCACGACCAGATGGTTTCACTGGTGAATTCTTCCAGGCTGCAAGTCCGAGTCTCTTATAGCTCAACAACTAAAAAAGCAAAAAATTAAAAGTGGGCCAAGGACTTGAATAGGTATTTCTCCAAAGAAGATATACAAATGACCAACAAGCACATGAGAAGATGTTCAACATCAATAGTCATTAGAGAAATACAAATCAACATGTAATGAGATACCACTTCACACCCACTAGGATGGCCAGAAAAAAACAAAACAAAATGCAATGGAAAATAACACGTGTTGGCAACAATGGAGAGA